GGCCCAAGTTGGCACCATCATTGCGCTCTTCCCAGGCGAGGCAGATCAGTCGCCGGCTTCTGGACGGCTGCTCACTGCGGCTGCTGGCTACACACGGTAGCCCATGGCAATGCACCTGCCGTTGCCGGCAACTCACAGCAGCCCAGCTCCAGGTCGAGCTGTTGTTCAGCATCTTAGCTGTGGAGGGCAGTGTCAATGGCCCTCATATGTGGGATCCAAACCAGGGCCCTCTGGTGTCCCAAGGCAGCTGTTAACCAACACGCCACTCGGCCGGCCTTCCATGAGATTTTTTATTCCAAATTTGTCTTAATGGAGGGATTGATATTTTAATCATAGGGTATATGCATTTCTCAATGTTTCCCTACATGTATTCTATGTCATGTCTACACAGTCTATGAAAAATAATCATTTTTCTCATTTGGAGTGTATGAAAATAAGCATGCATTTTAGCCAACAATAATTTTACTTTCAGTCTCTCACTTTGTACAGTTCTGAAAGCCATCACTATGAGTGAAATTAATGAGTCACAAGACCAAGGAATAAACTTGGATACCAACAGTGGGTGGCCTGTGATCAACTGTTAACACCAGGTGGCTTTCAGCCACTGCCCAGATGATTCCCAAGGGACTTCCTCCATTTTTTTTACCCCCAAATATCCTCTGAGGTATGGGAAGTAAGCTTGATGTTAAATTTACCAAAACATAACTGAGGTGACAAACACAGTGTCAAAACTGTACAACGTTACACCAAACCACATAAAAGTGGTTTGGAAAAGGAAACTCCAAAAAGCATTGTGAAAAAGAGACAGCATCAGAAATGCTATGAATAAACTTAATTCTTTATGAGTCCTAAGTTTCGGAAACACAATCAAGTCAATTTCTTAACCCCTCTCTTCACATGGGTAATTAAGATTCAGTTGATTTATTGCCATTGGATTTTTGCTATGAGTTTATGCCTATTATAGAACCATAGGTGGAATATTTTTTTAAGGACTGTAGAATGATGTTTTTATCTTGGATCAGCAGAAATACAGACTTTCAGAGGACTCACAGCTTCAGAACTGTGAAACACTGGATATTAACCTTAGTATGGGAGGCAGGGTTTGCGACGGGGACTAAACTCAGAAGGGACTTGCTCTCATCTCAGATAAACATAATCTCTCATCACAAAACATTGTCTACCAGAAACTCAATCAAAACTGGCTGCTACATCCAAGATGAATTCACACAAATAGAGTATTTTAAATAATATCATACAAGCACTCAATGTCTGCAACATTCAGTCATGGTTTAGTATTTAACTGTGAGTTATAAAATCCACAGAATAAACACACTACCCAAATGCTACTTTACCAACTAGCGCCTTGGCTGATTTGAGACACAGGTGAGTCAGTAAACGCACAATAAAAACAAGGCCATGAAGTGCGGGAAAGAGGAGCGAGAGAGATTCAATTGAATTGAATGGCATTCTGAGAGGCTGGAAATTGCTATCACAACACAAGCTGGATTCCACCCATGGATTACAGCAGAGAGCAGTTCAAAATGCAAAGTGGTTCTTAAAGCAAAAGTATAAATAATACAGCAAGTAGGAACAGGTGAAAAAAAGTGATCCCGAAACAGTCTGTAGGTAAAGCCTCTGAAATATCACTGTGGTTAACCTCCGACTGTCAGCACGCTCAAAGTCGTTCACTTAATCAGTGACAGAAAACTAAGAATTTCTGCCAACCAAATTTTAGGGCACTGAAGGGACTGATAGAAAAAAAGTGACAAGCAGATAAGCACAGAACCATTAGCCTCAAGTTTTAAAATAACTTAAACTACTTAGTACAATATTTTTAGTAACTTGTCATTTCATCTTTATTCTTAACAGTATTAAAGTTAAAACGTTTTACCTGATACCTAAAGTGAGAACCGGGGAAGTCTTTCAGCTTCATCAAACATTTACCTGGTGGAATTCATGCAAATTGAATTAAACTGTTAACAAAACCTTTTCTGTACTTCCACATCTGTCTATAACACGCTCATTTGTTAGTAATTGGATCTCTAGGACATTCTTTAAAATAATCACATACCCTCTTGACCATGCAACCTGATTAATAATGAATGAACATTCCTGAAAAGAATCACTTGAAAGCATGGCAGATGTCTTTAGGGATATGAAAGCTTTAATGATAAAAATTAAGGAGAAATGGGAGCTAGGTCACACTGTCTGGTTATTTTAATTGGAACCTACACTCCCCAAATTACTTAACAGAATGCTTAAGTACAGCTTCTGGAGTTCATTTATACCAGCAGGCAAACAAAAAGGCACAAATCACAATACAAAAAAGCAATCCTGATTTAACCGGGAACAACCGACCGATTCTGCTCTGTCTTAACAGTGAAGAAACCCCCTCAACAATCTCAGAAATGCAATTTTTTCCCTACCAAACAACTGACAAACAGGTTAACAACAGGAAATAGCACATTTGTCCTTAATAGTTCTTTCAGCATCTCTCCAGATTCTTACAAATAGATGACCTTGAATACCCACCAATGGACTGCACCCTAGTTCTTTTTGAAGAAACATCGCCGTAGGCAGAGGATGGGAACCCACAAAATGACAGACAGGCCACCGAGACCAGATGGTGGGTGGCAGGCAGTGCTGGAGCGGTCCTGTGTGTCTGTGAGAGCGTCAACAGTGAAACACAACAGGAAAATCGACGCGACAATTCCAGGAAGGCCAGCTCCACCTCATCCACCCTGCCAGGGTTGCTGAGTTGAAGAATCAAAACTCCCTCTTGCTTTGTAAACGCCTTTCCAAGGACCCCACCGTGACTTCCCTGTGCCCTCACCCACTCAATGTTCAACTGAAATCAGATGAAAAGATGGTTCAGGTCCGGTCAACACCCCCTGCCTTGTCCCCCCAAAATGATAAGTTGGCACCGGAATCTGTACACCCTCATTGCTCACAGGGACCGGCAGCGGGTCAGCGTCCTACAGCTGAGCACTGGATGCCAGCTTTCCATGCTGCCAACAGGAGCCCATCCTGCCCAGCTCCCGGGGTCAGCCACGGGCGCTCACCTCCCATGCATTTTGGCCCTTTCAGCGTCCTACTGAACACATGATCACATTATGCTCTGGATGCTGGTTTATTATTTTTTTTATAATATACTTATTATTTTGTATCTAACTTCTGAATTAAAATACAATATTTGAAAAAAGTTTTTAAAAATGTTAACAGCAGGAAGAGTGATCTCTTATACAGACACGATAAAGCAGAGTCACTTTTTCTTCCAAAAATGGAGATCGAAATTGCAGTCTACCATCTGGATAAACAACTGAAAATACGTGTGTATGAAACATATACATATGTATATACACACAAACAAGTTTTACATACATATACATAAATGCATGTGTATGTTATGCACACAGCATATCATATGTACATGTCATATGTGAATATATACATATAATACATACATAAACAACACACAGCAAATCTGTGATGGTGTCCCAAATTTCAGTGTCCAGAATGGCAAAGAAAGACTGAATTGAGAGTGGAAAGTAATCTTGTAAAAACTGATTGTCTAAAGGAAGAAGGGGAAGTTGTCTCCCTAAAAGCAAAAAACAATGTGTCCTGCACTGCAGTCCTTTCAAGGATGTTGCTTATCACGATGCAAGACCAGAACTGCAACTAAAGTAAGTCACCAGGAAAGTGTAAAAATACCAAAGCAAAACAAAACAAACATGCTGACTGCAAGCCTGCATGAGTCCATTTATACACCAGACATCTGGACTCCACCAAAGGTGTTTAAAGAACACTCTTGATAAAGGGTAGACAGGAGGCAAGAGTTGCTTCCTCGTGTGGCAGTTTGCACATCACGACGCCTGCTTTTTACGGCATTGTGACAGCCTGCAGTAAACCAAAGCGTGCTTCACATGTTTGGACATCAAAATGGAAACATATATTTTCTTGGCTTATGTCTCTACAAATCACAATTTGATTTGCCTTTTAACAATAAACAAAGGGATTGCTCAATTTCACATACAGATGACTTCCCTAAGAAGTCCTCACTGTCCACGGAAGAGACATGCTTCCATCATCAAATCGTATTTGAAAAAACTTTTAATCAAGAGATTTAAAAGCATTGCTTTTGTTAAAACAACATGAAAATTGTCAACATTTCTGAGACATGTTGGCATTGTAGTGGAAAATTAGCCTGAACATCTCGAGTTGAAACCTCAGGAAACCAAACATTTACTCCACCCCTCAAAAACAAAAGAAAATGATCAACAACAACAAATTGTATAATCTTCTAAAGAGCACAATCTGACAACTTTTACAGGAAATTTTCCACTGTCAGAGGGTCTTAAGACATTTCATGTCTTTTACAGTTTATGTGAAGAAATAAAGCATCCAGTTTTAAAGGCAAATGGAACCTATTTTATATTACATTGAAAATAACTGGTGTTTTCCAGGTCTATCCTGTACTGGGTGTCAGGCTAGAATTTGCTTCTGAAGGCAGGGACAGCAGACTTGAAAGAGAAGGAAGAGAGTGAGAACTTGTTCCACCTAGTCAGTCTCTCATGACATAAATCTGAATCCAGCCTCCTGGAGAGGGGACCAACAGCGAGGTGGTGGCAGAAATGGAGGCCACGGGTTCCTATAAATCCCCCTCCCTCGAATGCTTTTCCAGGTGTATTTACAGTTTAATAGGCATTTCTGTACACATCCATAGAACTACGTCCATGTCTATATAAAATCCCACATGTCTACAATGGAATTAGTTAAATATATATGTGTACATATGTACACCCCCCCACACACACACACACATAGGCAAAAACACCTTTGCCAAATTACTTGGGACTTGATGGAATTCACTCTTCACAGACCTCCTACATTTGGGAAACTTTCCTCGGCAAAAACAGAAACCTGTAAATAATTTACGTCTGAAAAAACAAAAAAACCACCCACTGCCATCTGAAAAGAGTTGCCTAGAAATTAGCAGAATGATCTAAGAGGTCTAGCCTGTGAAGGACAGACCAGTTGAGCTGGATTTTTGCAGCCAAGTAGATTCCACTGGGAAAAACACTTGTCACTTGGGGAAACTTTTCCTTACCTCTTTTATAAGAGACCCCTCTAGAAAGCAGAGAAAGTGCACACTCTCCCCTTCCCACTTCCAGGAGAAAAATGCATCAATAAATAGTTGCTGATGATGGCCAATGTGGCATTTCACAATTGTTCTCTGAACACTGGAAAGCTTAAGTTCAATGACAGGAACAACCAATCTGGTCCCATGACTCACTGAGGTAATGACAATGTTACATAGTAACTGATTCCTATTGTATGAACAGACTGGGAAATTCTCTCCAATATGATAGCCTCTTTTCTCAAAGGAAATCACTTTTTCCCTCAACTTCAAAGTTAGTCACACACAAAAACCTCATGTTCACAATAACCTGAAGCTATTTTGCGATCTTAAAAAATAAAGAAATGCAACCGTTTTTCACATCTCCTGGTTAACTATTATGAAGAGCATGCTTTAAACATTTCCCGTGATCACTGAAGCCCTACAGTAAGGGGATGGAGTCTTTTTTTTTTTTAAGGCAACAGAAAGAGGAGTGACTCTTTTGTTCTGAATTGTTATTGTAAAGCACCACATGAGAGAAGGGGAACGACGGGAACATGGCAATGAAAAGGACAACCGCGCTGACAAACGAAAACAGGATATTAAGAACAGAGTCGGAACTGTGCGTCCCTACAGAACAAAGGCGGGTGCTTCTTGGGAGAAATTTGAGCAAGAATACTTTGAACAGATTTAAATACTAAGGAATGAACTAGTTTTCCAGGCAGCATGAGATCTTTAAGTCAGGGGCGGTAAAATTAGGTTATCATCAAAACATACATACACAGTTTAAAGTAGCATAAAATTAAAAGTGCTTTCAAATCACATTAAATCACTCACTTTTCAACCCATGATCCACTTCTTGAAATCGCTAGATCTATGTTTTGCCCCATCTAAAATAAGATACTGGTTTTTAGTTAAATAATTGAGCTCACTTCATATATATTACTAAGGAAATGGAATTTTTTACAAAAGAAAAAATACCTCTCCATTCAGAGCATACTCGAACTTACATTTTTTAATAAAACCTTTAAATAGAGCCTTCAGGGACTCCCAGAGAAGTTATGGAATGGCTTCTGAATTAGAAACAATCATTGCAACTAACTAACATTAATATAACAGACTGGTTTTGTCAAGTCATGCTCGTATCATCTACTTTTCTTCTGATGCATATGCGTTAATGCTGCTAGAATGACAATACATTTAATCAGATCATCCTATAGTTTATTGGACTTATCACATAATAATAATAATAATAATAATAATAATAATAATAATAATGATAATATTATTATTATTGTTGTTGCTGCAGTCTTCAAGCTAACAGGATTCAGAAAAGTAAACAATATATCCTATCTTGTACTGCATCAAAAATTGCAGGGTGTTTTCTCTTCTCTATGTTCTGCTGCTGTTCTTTTTGTCTCTTTCCCCCATTCCTTCTATTGTGAGATGAGAGATGGCCTAAGAGGCTTTCTTCTTTTAAATAATGCATTTAATCCAGCTTTCTCTTTGATGTGCTGTCAGAAATCTTGGGGTTAAGCCCTGAGCTCAATTTGCCCCACTGCCCTTGGTCTAGTTTTGGGGTGAGGCCATTAGTGTAATGTCGTGCAAAGAAACATGTACCTTGAAAGCAGATAAACCTGAGTTCAAACCCTGGCTCTGCCATTTCCTAGCAAAGGCGGATAGGAGCCAGCTACTCAACATATCTTATACTTACAGATACTCTGCATATCTTCTACAGTTTCCTTATCTGTAAAATGTGACAATGAGAGCAATCTCAAAGGATCCTTTGAGGGTTAAGTGAGGCAGTTTTAGAAGTGCCTGGCAAATTCATAGCTCTCATATCTTTCTTCCTCTCTGGTCCTGCATCATGTCTTGTCACTCTTCTTTGAATATATTAATTCTCTGTATTTTTTATTGGAAACTTCTTCAAACTACTTTTCGAAACAGGAAGGATATAAATCCATTTATTTATTCAATGTTTGTGGAGTATCTCATGTAAAGGAACAGTATACAACCAATAAATGAAATAGCATTCCTATTATTAATATTAATTATTCTTTAATAAATGTCTTCACATAGGCAATCTAATCTATTTCCTAGACTTTGCCATACCTTTATTCATTACCGTTGGATTGCCCACCATGATCTTGAGGCTTCTCTGCTCCCTGTCCCATATGAATCCTTTGCCAGAATTTTTTGCTTTGCAGGAAATAAGGGACCCTGGCAGGGGTGGGGCAAGTGAGACTATCACAAACAGTAAAGGGTTTCCGATTTTTCCTACTTGAAAGCTATTCAGTTAGCCTACTAGTTTCATGAATGCTGGCAGAAGACACGAGAGCCCTGAATCAGAGACAAAGGACGCTTTTAGTCAGGGCAGCAAGCATCATGTGTTTCATGTTCAGGTCAGTTCCCCTGTCCCCTCCAGTCCCACAGAGCACCCCAGGTGCATGGGGCATATGCAGGGCATTTGTATCAGAGCTGCACAACCCCAGTCTTAGGACACCTGACTCTTTTATTATGGACTGATTGCAAGCAGACCTGCCAGCCATTTGCCCTGGGGAGAGACACAATGTTTATTATAATGAACAACCAACCAACCTGCCTTTTACCCTGGATGGAGACATTCTATCTCAATCTTCCAAGGCTGTCGCTATACAAACATCCTTGAAAAGATAATCTGGAACAAAGGCCATCAGCACCTCAGCGCACACAAGGTACAGAAACTTGAGAGATCCATGGAGAATTATTTCCCAA